CTGCTTAGTAAAATAACTCGCTTGCCAAAGTTAAAGTTTTAAATCTAATAGTTCCAAAACAGATTTTTGTAATCCATAAAGGCTGAGGTAACTATCTGTGCAACACCCTCCCTCTCATAGCAGTCGATTTCACCAAAATCTATTCTAGCATAGTTCTGCTCAATTAAAGAAATATGCTTTCCAAATTTTTTTATACATGGAGAGTTTCTGCAACCCAGCTTTGAAGTCAAGATTCACAAACTCCATTCTTGAAGGCTAACTACTCAATTAAAGAAACATACTTGCCTGATTTCAAGTCTGCAGACCTTATAGATCTGGAGATCTCATGATGAGTAAGTGAATGAGTCATTTTTCTCATACGTACAGATATAAATATTATAAAAATATAATGCTCTCTACTTGGTAGTTCAATATAATCCAATATATTTGAATGGCAGTATATTGTCATTCTGGTATTCCTCTAATAAGTGTGCTTTTTGAACAAGCCTTTTTATTTTAAAAATATTGGTGGCGCTCTTGAGGAATAATTTTTTATACGTACCTTTTTCGAATTTCTCCCGTTTGTTCACCACACAGAATCACCCACATAACTTTTCACACCCACGTGTAAACGCGTCTCTCTATCGTCTTTTTTTCTTCTCTTCATCTTACCTCTAGAAACTAAAGGACTTGAATGCAGGTAGGATATAATCCATGTACACACACACAAAAAGAATTAAAAGTTTCTAAAAAAATGTATAATTAATTAGGATGGTGGGCGGTGTTTCACCTAGTTAATCCGAGTGTAGCAAAATTCCGAATGGCTTAGGAAAAAAATTTGTTCTTGAGAATGGGAAGTAAATAAGGAAACAATGTATTCTATTATGATTGTTGTCAAATTTACGGTAGTATAATAAGTTTCTTTAATGCTTGATATTTTTTCGTGCAACTTCAAACTGTGCACATATTTAACACGTTTTACTTTTACAGAATAATAATTTTTTTAATTCATTTCAGTCTTATTAATTTATGATTTAAATCTAAATTCAGCCTAATATTTATTTCACAATAAATTGTTGTTGTCGTGTGTTTTTATCCTGGGATTCATATGAAATACGAGTGGAAGAGAACAGAAAGCATACAATAAAACAGAAGAATACTGACATTTATTACAAATGATGATCCCAGCATAGAACAGAAGGGATGCGCTGCTTTCCATTTGAGACGGGAATCTATTACAGGCAAAATGTCCGACTTCCTTTCCCGAAGAAGATACAACTATTCCTTACTCGTGATTCGAACCCACTAGGTTACAAGTCGAGGTTCGTATCCACCATACTGGATGGGTGACCCATAATGAATTAAAACATTATTATTGCCATTAGATTTTACTAAATATTTTAAGTAATCTAACAGCTAACGAAATGCTTTTCTCTAAAAAAAGTCACATATTGGCAACAAAAAAATTATTAGATACATTTATTATATATATATATTTTTAAAAAAGTGTGTGTGTACTTATGTACGCACGTAAGAAGTTATACTTCTTTGGCGTAACAAGTTTAAAGTTTTTCTAAAACTCTTTAGCAAGGCAAACTGGGCCAAGGACGAAAGGCGGTCACGAGCAGAGTTGAACGATACTAACCTTCAGTCAATCGGACCAGCACAAAGCTGAGATAATCACGATTTAACTAAATTTAAACGCCACCGCACAGGGACAATAGGAACAATAACATGGGGGTTCTAGACTGTATCTGGAGATGAAATGAACCAACTGTGACATTTGAGACCTCATATTGAATGACTCGGTGGGAAGAATTGTTGCTGAGGAAATTAAGACATCCGCCTGAAGAGCCCCCGAGGTATGGTCATTTTAAAATAATCAAAACACTTAAAACAATTAAATAAAATAGAAGCAGGGCACCCATCAACTCGAAACTGAGCCTGCGTGTGAGCAAACACCAGAGGAATCCATTAGAACCGGTCCGGAGTCTGTAGTTGCAAATGGAGCGGCGCTAGCTCAGGAAAGGAAAGCGTAATTAACTCCCCGCGGAGGGGAATACCTATGGCTTAAATGGTCTCGTACATCCCAACGATGCACAGAATAGTAGGTGATCCCAAAGTTTCATCCTTCTATTTCTGTAATATCGT